CCAGGATTCAGTTTTGAGGAGATTACAATCCGCCTTTTTGAAGTTACAAACAAATCGTTTGTGTATTTCATCACCTGCAAAAAACGACGAAACACCAAGCTTTGCGGTGGGCTGTAATGCAATTTACAATATTGTACTCGATTTAAATAGTTGCTTTACGTGCGTCAGTCTGAGGCTGTCCCTGTGATATTGATACTGTCCGACTGCCATCTACATGTAGATGCAAAGTCAACACTCGTGTTAATTTTAGAGACCGTGACTGCTTTCTTACCTTCATGTATTTATAGACAATTTGTAAGTTATGGTAGTAAATGCAACGCCCATATGTCTGAGATATTTGTATTTTTTTACGAACGTATCGGACTATTATAGAAGTCTGCGGGGAAACTTGCGTGAGTAAACAGAATAACATCAAAAGTCGCATAGGTATATAATACAAAGGCGGACAGGGACACAGGCTGGAAGTTAATTTATAACCACTGGCAACTCTGCCCTCCTGTCGCAAATGACGATGGATTCGATGAAGGTTAAACATAAATAAATGTTAAAGCGCGGTAGTCGTCGCGCTGCGCATGTGCGACATTTGTGGTGATAAACATTGATTTACCCACAACCCAATGCGCTCTTTTAATGGCAATCACAAGTATGAGGTTTTACCTGGGCGCGACTTGCACTAATTACCACCGGTGACTCGTTCGGTACCTTCCAACCACCTAAAATGTCTAATTAAAGTTTTGTAACGTCTCAATTTGTACTCCTTGATCTGCGCAACAAAGTCCCAATCTTTGCTTATACGAGACCCACACATCTTGAGCATGCGTGGCTCGACGACTACCGCCCTTTAACGCAATGTGTGATTGTAGAAGTAACGTCTTTCGGCAACGTCTAGCTAGTATTTTGAATAATAATATTACCCAATATTATTTACTATACATTATATTTCATCAATTAGTCAGGTAACTACCAAATTTGCATACTTTTACTTCAAGATCCTGCAACATCAGCTACATTATGATACGACACAGTGATAACTAGTGTGATTGATTTATACTTCTATACGAGTCGAGTAAGCTTTATGTAATCCCGACGAATGGTGTTGAGCATGTTTCCATTTTTTTGATATTGCATATTGATGAAACTAAAATATAATCTTTCATAAAATAATACTGATTTGGAAGTATTTCTTCGATGTAATATGCATGTAAGTTTACATGTAGGTAATTAAAAAAACGTTTTCAGTATTTCACCAAAAGAATATAGCAATATTTGAAGTTGCAGCCAAAAGTATATTCTTTTTACAATAAAATTATATCACATTGTTTTATCACAATGTTATTTAAAAAAAATCAAAGTTATTCAAACTGCATCTTTAATAAAAGATATGCATGTATAATTAGATTCAGTGGTACCGGTAGTAGTGATGCAATTCTTAGCCAATCAGTAAAGCCAGACGGTAAACAAAAGAATCGTGTGCCATTGTCGCGGAGTTGTTTGCCGCGACCACGTTTTTCTTGTCCCTTTAAAAGTGCCAAGCTGACAGAAAGCGAAATCCGTGGATTAAATGTGACAAGTCCAAATTGTGTTAGACGACATCGACGAACTTCAGGACGAAGCTGTAGAGATTTTGTTCGATCGCGACAGAGACGCCGACTTGAACTTTGAGGGTTTTGACTTTTACGAAGATAGCAATGAACGTACAAATAGAGAACAACTAAGAACTTTCGTAATTTTACTGCGTAAATTATTATTGGTCTTGTATGGCTGTTGAACCGGTATTTGTCAAAATCGGAAATAATTTTACGCAGTTAACACCTGACATTTCAACTTCACCCGTGCTTGTCGGCGTGGAAGTCCTAATTCAAATGATTCCTCACTGTCGATTTTTATTATTTCTGGTTTATTTGTCACATTATAAGCAATAAAATACGTTTGTTATACTTCTAATGTTGCATATTGTTAATTCATTTCTGTTGCATGTTTTTATTATTTTATTCGCCGCTAATAAGCACACATTTAAGTTGTAAAGCGCCCTCTATTGGTCAACTATAAGATTGGTAATTTTGGGTTTGTCTCGGGAAAATTCAAGTACGTTACAGTATATTTCCTTTATGACTTTATTACTTCAGTCTTTCTAGTTTTCATTAATTCTGAATTGCATTGTGACTCAGATTTGCAATTTCTGAATTACTGTTCACCACACAATTCAGAAGAACAAATGAAAGAATTCCTTGAATATTTCTCATATTTCTTATTATTCTCACATAAAGGTACAACTTTTATATGTGTAGGATGAAGAGTTCACCATTCAACAGACTTATTCAGGGGAATTAGCAAGTATGGCTGTCCTATGGTGAATAGACTGTCGACAGTCCCTCTGGCCTTACGTGTGTGTGTGTTTTTTTTTTATTATTAATATTAATCAAACGCCGTAAGCGTTTGCGAAATGCCGAAAGCATTTCAAGCGAGGGCCGTAAAGCCCGAGAGACTGTTATAGCATGTAAACGCCCTCATGTGGCATTACATGCACATTGCCCGGTGACGTTCCTGCATTTCGTTAAAACGCCTACGGCATTTGAAAACAAGTGACTCTTTATTAGGCCCGAGAACTAAGTAGTTGATCCTCTCTTGCAAATCTGTTGCTTCTTGGAAGACATGACCCAACCTTCACTGCTCCAAGCTTATGGGACACTTTGGTGCGATTCATACTGTGGAGTGTCGGATCTCAACAGAGTTCAGAGACAAAGTAAACGTGCTAACCCCTGTACCACTCACAGGTATGAAATTACCCGACCTTTTCAGCACTTAAGTCAACTTGCATCACATTTCACTACATAAAGCTGCATAATGTTTTGTTCATATTAAAAATAATCGAAATGTTGCACCAAACAAAAATACGGTTAATCAAATGTATACAATTCTAAGTACACTGCAATCCTTATTACAACAAACTCCTTTATAATGAACACTTCTCTATAACAGACGAGTTTCATTATATCGAAGGTAACAGTGCATAGGATAAAGCCAGAGTTTAATAGAAAAGCTGATCTCTGATAAAATGTCCAGGCTTTCTGGACAGACATTTTATGACGACTTTATATGTTTGACTTACCGGGGTAAAACCCACCATCCTAAACCATCTGTAGATGTATTTCAATACTGAAACCGGCAGGACCCTATACGCAACATCTTTATAATGATCAACTTTTGTGCAAGTGCAAAAGCCAATGACTGACATTTTCCAGATAGCTTTAATGACCAGACTGTCTGTCACATTGCCAGTTGTGCAAGCTCAGAGTTGAACCCTAGGCCTACTATACTTTACGAGAACAAAGAGTTGAAAACAAGTCAGACTATGACACGATTGCTGCAAGCCAGAGTGGAGATTGAATATGTGAACAAGTGCATTATCCGACGTTACATCAACCACACCTGTAGCTTGTACTGGCCAATCACATTCAACTGATTGTGTTGATATATGGTGAACGTGTTTTAAGCTTTGTTTCCATATTGAACATTTCGCAGGTAGAGAAGTTGCACTACATTATCTTTTTTGAATGTGACGAAAACTGACCACAAATGTGTCAAAGAACAAGATACAAGTTCACCTTGAAGTTGGACAGGGACATTGCGTCCAGTGCAATGACTTGATACTTTCTTAGTTGGAGTTGAACAGTTATGGTTTTTAAAATTGACTTTGTATTTAGATGGCAGATGGGAATCATCAAGATTAAAGCACTGGGACAATTTTTCATTTAATCTGATTTAAGCGAAGGACCATGTGGGTTTTAATGGGGTGGATACTGGATGAATGAGTGGTACACTTTCATGGAGAGAACAAAAATATTTCCTTGGCAATAAATAAAACAAAATGCTACAACAAAGCATTAAGCCAGTATTTTCATTTTATTTAATTCTTACAAAATAGTTATCTTAATTACATATAAACTATCTAGATAGGATATTTACAACACATATATAAATTAACTATTTCAATAATTCATCAGTTTTTATATAATTTGTACCCCTGGTAATTATTTGGCTCTGTCTCGAGACCTCAGATTTCAAACCATAATATTACAACCTACTGAGAAAGACGTGCTAATTTGTTCCATGAAATTAGCAGATTTATACACTACAGATCTGAATGACTACGCTTCGTCAATTTAACTTTGTCGATAAAATATTTGACTGGGAATAACTTTTGCAGGTTTCAACAATTCATCAACAGAATTCTGTGCAGAGACTGAATGAGTGGAAACAAATATTGGCTAGCATTTTTTTTGGGTGGTGTACATATGCTGACAAACGGCTATTTTTTAAGCCTTGCTCTTTTTGAAAGTTAATAGTTTAACTCCCATGATGCCTTGCATATTGATTACTATCGCCCAATCCTATTTGAGCTGGTTTCTTGATTACAACTTGGATTTCTTTGACTGCAGCATTGGTTGTAAATATTTGTAATAAGATTCATGAACCTAGAGAAATGTGGGAATATAGTGAAATTATACTGATTAATTAATGCTGTATATTGTAAAACTCAATTCATGAATAAGCAGAATTTTAATTTAGCCAACAATCTCGTGAGAATATACTTTATTTTAAATTAGATCATTCACAAATTGAACCATTTTTTTATTGAGAGGCTGTCAAGCATGGTG